TGCTGGTACAGACTCTGTTAAAGCCACGTAAATAAACATCTCTTTTCCTATCTTTTTTTCTTTCCTTTTCTTTTCTTGTCTGATAAGGTACAACACATATGCTTGACTAGAACTGAATCTTCCCTGGGGAAAGGATGGGCACAAGGAAAAGAATGGGGAGATAGCAAGGGATACTAAAGGGGAAAGGGGTGAGGTGATATCACCAAATTCATTCAATGAAGGTAGTTTGGTAAATTCAGTGCAGCAGAAAGCATTTTACATAGAAGACACTTGCCTCAGTGTCTGTCCTTTCTTCAGTGAGTTCTCAGTATGATGGCTGCCCTTGTTCATCCACTGCTAAGCCCAGGCAGCACTGAAGGAGCAGGACTGAGAAGGAAGATCCTCCAGAAAACAGTCGTCAAGTTGCGTGTGTGTGTGTGTGTGTGTGTGTGTGTGCGCACACGCATGCGCGTGCTGAGGAGATAGAGGAGATCAGAAACCAGGAGTGTGACAGCTGGAGAGGAAAGCCTTAAAGGACCACAGTGAAGTGTGAGAGAAGTAAGGAAAAAGTAAGCACACAGGTAGGTCTGCAGAAAGGAAAAGGTTTGACTTTCATACAGAGAATAAAGTAGATCAAAGTGACCAAGGTGAAGGGAGGTGAGACGGACTAGAGGAAGAATAGTAGTGGGAGAAACCTATTATTATTATTATTATTAATGCAGGTACTGGAGCTTGAACCTAGGGCCTTGTGCTCTCACTTTTTCCCTCAAAGCTGGTGCTCTACCACTTGAACCATACCTCTATTTCTACCTTTTTTTGCTGGTTAGTTGGAGATAAAAGTCTCTAAGCCTGCCTGGACTGGCTTCAAACTACAATGTTCAGATCTTAGCCTCTTGAGTAGTTAGGATTACATGTGTGAGCTACTAGTACTGGGGAAAACAATTATTATTAACAATAATAATTGGCCCTGGTGCCAGTGGCTCATGCCTGTAATCCTAGCTACTCTGGAGGCAGAGAGCTGATGATCGCAGTTTGAAGCCAGCCCAAGAAGTCAAGTCCATGAGATTATTATTTTTTTATTAATAAGTTTTTTTTTTATTGTGAAAATACCATTCAGAGGGGTTACAATTACCTGGACAAGGTAATGAGTACATTTCTTATCAAGCATTGTTGCCTCCTCTTTTGTTTCCCCTTGCCATCTGTCCATGAGATTCTTTTTTTTGGGGGGGGGTCTGGTCATGGGGCCTGAACTCTGGGCCTGGGTGCTGTCCCTCAGCTCTTCAGCTCAAGGCTAGCGCTCTACCACTTGAGCCACAACACCACTTCCAGCTTTTTTCTTTTTGCTTATGTGGTGCTGAGGAATCAAAACTAGGGCCTCATGCATGCAAGGCAAGTGCTCTACCACTGAGCCACCTTCCCAGCCCCCCATGAGATTCTTATCTCCAATAAAATACCAAAAAAGAAAAAAAAAAGTCAGAAGTGGACCTGTGGCTTAAATGGTAGAGCACTAACCTTGAGCAAAAGCAGTTTGGGAATAGGACCCATGACCCAAGTTCAAGCCCCAGGACTGACCAAAAAATAAAAAAAAATATATAATTGGAATTAGGTGGCTATCAAACCAATCTGTCAAACAGAATTTAGTGCCTGTTGCACATCACTAGCATGCTTATTTGAATCCTGCTCAAAGCTGTTCATTAATATTAATTCATTAAAACCCTTAGCATTTCTATGATGTCTAGTTACCTCCACTCTCTAAGTGAAGAAATTGAGCATCTGAGAGGCTAAATAATTTGCCCAAGATCACACAGTGACCACAGAGCAAAGTCTGGATTAATACACTCTAGGCAGTCTGGCTCCAGAATCCAGGCTTTCACCCTTGGTTCTACTGTCTCTCTAAGAGGTTGAAGAGCAAGTTAGACAACACCTGACCTCTTTTGAAATCTTTCTACCTTCTCAGATCCTCTCTAGAGTATAAAATATGTTAACAAGAGGAGAGAGCTAATAATTAACTCCAAGCCTGTGACTGTCTAAAGCCTGTGAAGTTTCTAATTGGGATTGGGTGGAGGGACTGGGAAAGATCCACATTTAAAAAAAAAAAGTTTCATTTTGCTAGGTACTGGTGGCTCACATCTACAATCCTATCTATTCAGGAGAACGAGATCTGAGGATCACAGTTTTGAAGCCAGCCCAGGCAGGAAAGTCTGAGACTTGTGTCTCCAATTAACCAGCAAAAAAGCTGGAACTGGAGCTGTTGCTCAAGTGGTAGAGTGCTAGTCTTGAGCACAAAAGCTCAGGGACAGGGCTGGGAAGGTGGCTCAGTGGTAGAGCACTTGCCTTGCATGCGTGAGGCCCTGGGTTCGATTCCTCAGCACCACATAAGCAAAAAGAAAAAAGCTGGAAGTGGCGCTGTGGCTCAAGTGGTAGAGCGCTAGCCTTGAGCTGAAGAGCTGAGGGATAGCACCCAGGCCCAGAGTACAGGCCCCACGACTGGACCCCCCCCCCCAAAAAAAAGCAAACCAATGGCTAATGCTAATGTAACCTTACCTACTCAGGAGGCTGAGATCTGAGGATCACGCTTCGAAGCAAGAAAGTATGTGAACTCTTTACCTCCAATTAACCACCAGAAAACCAGAAGTAGCATGTGGCTCAAAATGGTGGAGCACTAGCCTTGAGCAGAAAAGCTCAGGGACAGTGCCCAGGCCCAGAATTCAAGCCCCATGACTGACCAAAAACAAACAAAAAACAAACTACCTACCTACTCACTTACCTATCTACATATACATACGTATATGCATATATATGTGTAACTGTGTAGCAAGCATTAAGTTTTTTTTTTTTTTTTTGTCGGTCGTGGGGCTTGAACTCTGGGCCTGGGCGCTGTCCTTCAGCTCTTCAGCTCAAGGCGAGCCCTCTACCACTTGAGCTACAGCGCCACTTCCGGTTTTCTGGTGGTTTATTGGAGATAGGAGTCTCACGGTCTCTTCTGCCCGGGCTGGCTTTGAACCGCGATCCTCAGATCTCAGCCTCCTGAGTAGCTAGGATTACAGGCGTGAGCCACCAGCGCCCGGCTGCATTAAGTTATTTTTGACAGATTGATTTGATACCTGTCTCATTCCAGTTGGCCCCTGGGGCTCTCCAATATTCTCTCGCTGTGTGTCTTCTTTGTGCTAACTTCAGGTAAGAAGATTCCTTTTCTTGATTGTTCCCCCAGAACTCTAGGCCAGCAGCAGGAAATTTAAGTAAAGGGGAAGGCTGCCCTTCTCCAGTTTTGTCTATGTATGTATGTATGTATGTATGTACGTATGTATGTGTCTTGGGACTTGAACTCAGGGCCTGGGTGCTGTCCCTAAGCTTTTGTGCCCAAGGCTAGCACTCTACCACTTTGACCCACAGCTCCACTTCATGTTTTGGGGTGGCTAAATAGAGACAAGAGTCTTATGAACTTGCCTGAGCTGGCTCCCAACCCTGATCCTCAGATCTCATCCTCCTAGGTAGTTAGGAATACAGGTGTGAGCCACCAGCGCATGGCTTGTTCCCTTATTTATTGGCTTATTACTACTTTAGAGACAGGTTCTCACCAAATTGCCAATATGCCTCAAACTTGCTATCTTCCTGCCTCAGCCTCCCCAGGTACTGGGAGTATAGGCACATGTCACCACCCCCTGCAAGATTTTGTTTTTTAATGATAGCACGCCTCTGTAAAGCAGTGTCTGTGGCTGGCTACAGTATCACTGTCATTTTATATATAGTAACATTGGTTACAGAAAAAGAAAGAATCACTTGACAAAGTTTTCTATTTCTGTAACATTGTGTCAGGAGGGAAGCTTAACAGTGTCTTCCCAGGGTGGAAGTCTTTGGATTTTAGATGTTGGTTTGATTTAACCCTCGTTTAATTTAACCCCTGTCAGAACACACATTTTTGAGTCCTTGACTACGATGCGATAAGCCCCGCCGTAGATGTCCACTGAAATAAAACATGCCAGGAACTCTGACTAGTAACCTTGGGTGCCTCCCAGACACTGCAGACTCCTTTCCCAAGGAAGTCCTAGCTCCAGTTCCCACCCTAAAATCTGCAGCGATTCTTCTGCCAAGACCAAACCGAGGCCCACAGCAGCGCAGGAATCATTTTTCCTTTCACCTTCTTCCCCCCAGCTCAGGGACTGAAGCCCTAACTCCCCAGGCTCCAATCTTTTGCATTCTCCCATCCCCCCAGCCGTCCATCCTGCTTTTCCTCCCCCCCCCGCCCCCCACCATGAGTCTCCTAGGCTACTTGTAAATGTGTGACTCTCAAGGAAAGTATTAGCAAGAAGCCACAACTTCGGGCAATGACTCATAAATGAATCTCCAGCCCTGTCTACCGCCCAGCATCACTCCCCACCCTACCCCGGGGTTCTGGGCCTCCCAGCAGAGACTCCAGATAAGAAGTTTCCTAAACCCAAGGAAGAGACAAATGAGTATTTTTTCCCTCAGTCTCTACGGCTGCAAGGCAGCCCTCCAGTAGATTCTAATACACCTGCTTCTCTGCAGCAGGAGGAAAAGAAACCCAATTCCTCCGAGACTGTCCCCAAAGACTCTTAGCAGCACAACCGCAGGGGCGCGGCGCTTCAGGCCGGCGCAGCCAACTTTCCCCGCCGCAGTGTCCCCATTGTCCATCCTCGGAGCTCGAGGTCGGGTGGGTTTCAGAGGACTGCAAGAGGGAGTCTCAGGACGGCACAGCCCAAGAGGAGGCGAGGAAAGAAAGGACCGGAGGAAGGGTTGACCTTGAGCATCAACCTGCATCACAGATCCTGACGCCGCGTCTTGCATAGATAGTCCAAACCTGCTCTATACTGGGAAAGGGTGCAGGACGGATGGAGGTCAAGGGGAGGAAAATGCAGAGCTCAACTCTACAGAAAAGGGAGGGAGGTTGAAGAGATCGCGTTCGGTTCTGGCTAGCTGAGATCAAGGCTATGGCGGGTGGCAAGCAATTAATTGCTTCATATAGATCAGGTTTTCTGCAGCCTGCAGGTGCTAGGACTCACCTGGATTACCTTCGCCCGGTGCACAACGAAGCTGCGCAGCTCAGTTCAGCTCGGCCCGGCTCGGGTGCGGCTCCTGAACAGGCCAGAGCAGGCCCCGCCCGCGCCCAGGGAGCGAGGCCACGCCCCCAGGGCGGAGCCCGCGGAGCCCGCGGAGCCGGCGCACTGCGCCAGGATTTAAGACCTGGCTGGACCACTAGCCGAGAGGCGGAGACTAAGCCCTTTTCCTGCTCTGGTTGCCTTCAGGGTTACTCTTTCTATCCCCAAATCCACGTATCTGCCTGCTTCTTCCCCAAGCAGTTTCATGGCCGCTATCCTACATTGTTTTCAATCAGTTCGTCTTCAGCTAGAACTTGCAAGGCGGTGTCACGAGCACAATTTGTTCCCTGCAGAGCCACCGTAGCTTGGCTGTGGCTCAGCTGCCGCGGGTGCGGGACACTGTCCAGCCACACTGGCACGCGCTGCGCGTGCTCGGCAGGCGCGTTCCCGAGGCCGGCTGTCCCGCGGGGGCGAGCCTAGTCTCCACACCGTGTCAGTGCAAAGACTCGGGGCTGTCAGGGCTGGTGAGTTTCCCCAGCTAATAAAAGTTGTTAGGCTGAGAACTCCTCTCCCTCCTCCTGCTCCCTCCTCCTGGGTCCTGGGGCTTGAACTCACCGCCCACCGGGCGCTGTCCTGGAGCTGGAGCTTTACAGCCTGGAGCCACCGCACCCCCTTCCCTGCATCTGGTAGTTACGGTGAGAGTCTCAAGCACTTTCCAGCCGAGTCTGGCTTGGAACCCTGACCTCAGATCTCAGCCTCGTGAGTAGTTGAGATTACAAGGGTGAGCCATCGGTGCCAGGTGCAACTTTTTTAACAAATATTTTATTGTTATGATTCAAGTGTTGTACAGAGGGGTTACCATTTTCTAAGTCGAGTAATGAAGACATTTATTTTTTTTTGGACTCTATCCCTGCTCATAAGTGACACAGTTCATTTCCCCTCTTTGTCTTTTGATATCTTTGGATATCTAGTACTAATATGCACACGCTGGGCATAGTGATGCATGCCTGTAATTCAGAGACAGAAGTAGGAGGGTGGAGAGAGTCCAGCCAGGGCAAAAGATGGAGACACCACCTCAAAATCAAAATAAAGGCAAGGAAGGCTGGAGTGTAGCTCAAGTGGTAGAATACTTGCATGCTTAAGGTGCTGGGTTCAGTCCCCAGTACAACTACTACCGCTACCACCATAATATGCACTCATGAGCAGTCACAATTTTCTCTAGCACTGGATAATGGATATGGTTTCCCTCCAATTCCCAATAGAAATAAGAACTTTTGTTGTTGTTGGTTGTAGAGCTTGAACCCTGGGGCTGGTCACTGTCCCTGGGCATTTGTGCTCTACTACTTTGAGCCTTAGTGCCACTTCCTGTTTTTGCATGGTTAACTGGAGATAAGACTATTCTGCCAGGGCTGGCTTTGAACTGTGCTCCTCAGATCTCAGACTCCTGATTGTCTAGGGTTATAGGCATGAGCCACTGGAGCCCTACTGAAATAAGACCTTTTATGTAAGGTTATTGTCAAAAAGCAAATGAAATGAAGATACAGTGCCTCACAAAAGTTCTACAACCCTTTTGTCTTAGGTTAATGTATTTGTGATTTCTATTGTAATAAAACAAATTATGGTATGGAATTGGCTCAAGAGTTATTGTGTCCCTACTTCATTCACCATTCTTTCTCATTTACAATCTGACTTCTGCTTCCAAATCACTTTGCAAATTGCAATCTTAAAAGGTCACCATTTTCCTGGATTCTCAAACATTGCTTCTTCCTAATTATTTTCCTTCTACTCGCCTTTACTGGGCCTTCTTCATTTCTCTGACTATTAAAATGAGTTCAAGCTTCTCCCAAAACACTAATCTCCATGTTTACTTGCATCCTTCTCTATGAGTTCCTTCATTGACTTTTCCTTGATTGTATTTCCATGACTATTTTGGTTGTCTACATTCTAAATTCCCTTCTCTTCTAGGAAAAATTCCTATTATTTTTAACTCTTTTTTTCCCTCTGTCTTTTCTTTTTTGGTACTGGGGATTCAACCCAGGGCATTACACTTGCTAGGCAAGCACTTTGCCATTGAGCTATATCCCAGCCCTGTTTGGGTTTATTTTTTACCTGAATGTTTTGTCCTCATTTTAAATGTGTTCCTTAGAGGTAGTACAAACTGGAATATTGAAGTTTGTTTTTTTTATTGCAATATGGAAATTGAACTCTGGACCCTCCACTTGCTAGGCAAATGCTCTAACATTTGAGCCATGTCCCAGTTCTGTTATAATACTGAAGGACAGACCAGCCAATTCTTCTTTCTTCCAAATTCAGAGGTGCCAAGTTGGCAAAGCCTTTGACTTTGGACTCTATTTTGGAGAGCATGGATAACAGCAATACAGAGACATTTGGAGGCTTCATTTATTATGTGGCAACAGTGGTAAAGAGGGATTTCTTGTGAATCTGTCCTGATGACAGTCTCCCTCTTCTGAAAGTACTCTTTGTTCCCTTCATTCTTTTCTACCATACAGTTTTTAATGAATTAACTTATTTGCTTATGCTATGGCTCCTGTATTCAAATTGAAGTTACACAGATCTGGAGATACAGTCTATTTACTGTTGCATCTCTACTGCGCTTATGTGTCTGGCATAGAGTAGGCACTTAGTAACTGTGTGAAATGAATCTACAGATTGTAATGAATCTACCGCTTGTTTTGTGTGTGTCAGTCGTGGGGATTGAACTCTGGGCTTGGGTGCTGTCCCTGTGCTCTTCAGCTCAAGGTAAGCACTCTACCGCTTGAGCCACAGTGCCAACTTCCCAGCTTTGTTTTTTTTATTATTTTATTTTTATTTTTATTGCCAAGCTTTCTGTATCTGCTTTAGTTTTTAGGAAGCCTGCATCTCTGGCCCACCACTCTGATAACCTCCCAAGAATTATCTAGAGTCAGTTTCTGTTTCATGGGGAAAATACAGGCTTCATTCATAGGCTTTTTACAACATCCATTCCCTTTGCAGTGAAACTTTAAGATATTTCAGCAAATGATAACATGTAAAGAAATCACTTAGTGATTACTTGGTCATCACTCCTAGTCTTATTCACTCTTTGGACTCAGGAGTCAGTATTATATAGAAGCCTAAAGAGTCTTTTATTTTACTGTATGGCTAGAGGAAATTGTCTCTGAATCTTGTTTAGTGTTTTTATGTGCAAAGTTAACATACTAGCAACAATTTTGCTTGGCTGTTGTGAACTGGAGGGTGTCTATTGCTATTATCATCAATGTGTGTTGATTGCACCTTAAAATAATTCCCTTCTTAGGCCTTCTGCCATAGATCAGGCCTTATGTCTCCTCTGACCTGGACATTTACATAAACTTTTTCTTTTTGTGCCAGTCCTGGGGCTTGAACTCAGGGCCTAGATGCTACCCTGAGCTTTTGTGCTCAAGGCTAGCACTCTGCCACTTGAGTCACAGCTCCACCTCTGGCTTTTTTTGCACTTCATTGGAGATAAGAGTATCAAGACTCTCCTGCCATGGCTGGTTTCAAACCTTGCCTCACATCTCAGCCTCCTGAGTATCTAGGATTACAGGTGTGAGCCACTGGGGCCTGGCACATACAGAAACTTTTTGCCTGGTTTCCCCTTCATAATTCACTGCCATTGTGGTTAACTTTCTAAATCAGATCTCTTCTTCAGTGATTATGGGGACCTATGTCCTGTCATCCCGTAGGATGACATCCAAACTTTGAAACATGTTATTTCAAGATCTAGAGAGCTTCAACAGATTTTTCCAGAAGCTTCTCATTTAATGTTAATTTAATAAACTTTATTAAATGTGCATTGAATACCAGGCACTAATAGAACTTATATTTTATGGGGCTGGGAAGGTGGCTCAGTGGTAGAGCGCTTGCCTTGCATGCCTGAGGCCCTGGGTTCAATTCCTCAGCACCACATAAGCAAAAAGAAAAAAGCCGGAAGTGGTGCTGTGGCTCAAGTGGTAGAGCGCTAGCCTTGAGTTGTAGAGCTGAGGGACAGCTCCCAGGCCCAGAGTTCAGGCCTCACAACCAGACACCCCCCCAAAAAAAATAGAACTTATATTTTAGGGGCCCAGCATGCTTCTACTAAGCTACTCTGATGCTGGTAGAACTTATTTTTATGGTTGAACCTGTTGACAAAAACCAATAAGATGTGAATATCTTGTCCATTTTGTTCTGCTATAAATGCAAACCATATACTGAATAATTTAGAATAAATTATCATGGAGCTTGAACTTAGGGCCTGGGCACTGTCCCTGAGCTTCTTTTGCTCAAGGTTAGCATTCTACCACTTTGAGCCACAGCTCCACTTCCAATTTTCTGGTGGTTAATTGGAGGTAAGAGTCTCATGGGACTTTGCTGCCTGGGCTGACTTCAAACCACAATCCTTAGATCTCAGCCTCCTGAGTAGCTAGGATTATAGGCGTGAGCCACTGGTGCCTGGCTTGTCTTTTTTTTTTTTTTTGAGATAAGGCCTCATTACATAGTTCAGGCGATCCTTCAACTCACCATCCTCTTGCTTCCACTTTTTTTTTTTGGTAAGTCGTGAGTCTTGAACTCTGGGCCTAGGAGCTGTCCCTTAGCTCTTCAGCTTAAGGCTAGCACTCTACCACTTAAGCCACAGTGTGACTTCCGGTTTTCTGGTGGTTTATTGGAGATAAGAGTTTCATGGACTTTCTTGCCCAGGCTGGCTTTGAACCATGATCCTCAGATCTCAGCCTCCTGAGTACCTAGGATTACAGGCATGAGCCACCAGAGCCTGGCTTGCCTCCACCTCTTAATATAAGCTTCTTTAAACTGAAGAAATTAATCCACTGATGTCATCTTTTAAAATGAGACATATGGTTTTAGACTTTTTTTTTAACCACTTTTATTCCATAGAGAAAAAGATTGTGTATTCACATTTATCAGGGTTTTTACTATGTGGGTTCCAGGTATACGTCTTCAGAACATCTTTTTCTACTTTCACTCATTCTTCGTTATTGAATTTTTATGTTCAACTCCTTAATGTATGCTAAATCTTTGACAGTTTACATCTTGAGGCCCTGAGCTGGAGAGG